GGAAAGAGAGAACCTGAAAGTGATGCCATTTTTCCTCTGCACTCCTCTGTCCCAAATTGACTTACCAGCAGAAAGTGTTTAAGGGTAAGAACTTCAACTGGACGAGGCTGGCAGGTGATGACTAGCCTGCTGAGTAGGACAATGAGAATGTGACTCAAAGCCTTGCCCAAGCGCAGAGGTAATACAGGTTTGTATTTGGAACTCCTGTAGTCCAGGTAATTCTGGGAAGTCCCTTGGTATTCATGGACTGAAAAACTAGATGTAGGTGCCTGATATCAGGAAGGGATTGAAAGCTGGAATGCCTGGTTGGCCAGGGGCTGGGACATTAACCTTCTACCTTCTCTCTCAGTTTCACTTCTGACAAGATTAGAATAATTGAAAGCAGGACTAGAAGAGGTCTTGAGAATTCATCTAGTAGATAAAAAAGTTGTCTTTAAGTCAGAATTGCTTTCTAGAGAACTGTTTCCTGGTAGGTGTTAGTCTATCTCTTTTGTAGAAATTTCTAGATACAGAAATTCTTCAGCCTCTGTGAGATTTCCTCTAGTGTTCTTGTGATCTTTACTATTAGAAAGGTTTTCCCACTGTCTAGTCTTCTAATTTTTTCCTGCAGTTAAAGTCTTTTATTACTTGGTCTGTCCCCACTTGGCATCATTCCTATCTTTTTCAATGCAGTACAGGGAAGCTGTCAGCATTATCTCCTCAAGCCTGCCTCCCCCTTGCTTGAAACAGTTCTTCGGTCCCTGTTTTCAGCACATACTTCCTGAACTTCTAGTGATTTTGGTTGCTCTCTTGCAAATGTTACAATAGTTCACGTCTTACTGGAACAGATTGCTTCATATAAGGCTTTAATAACCTGAGTTATTGCTGAAAGCCTTGTGAGGTAGTGCATACATTGCTTCTGTTTGACAATTTCTGCATAGTGTTTGCTTTCTGTCACAACATAGTGAGATCACTGGCTGTGGTCTGTGGCCTTCTGCATAGATCCTGACTTGACCAGTCTCTCAGGAGCTTTTCTGTAGAAGCCTTAGTCTTCTCATGTCCCATCTATGACTGAGGAATGTACTGTTTGGCAAGCAGAGTTGTTGCTGCTGAATATTTGCTTTCAGAACATTTGACGGAACAGTGAATTTTTATGAAATGGATCATTGGTCGTTGCAAACAGTGTCTATAACAACATGTTACTTATTTTAGAAGGGGCAGTAGGTTATTCAGCTGATGTCCCTACAACAGATCGACCCCAAAGTGAAACAGCCACCTATGTTAATATTCCTGTCAGCCCTACTTCCAAAAAACAGCTTCATTACATGGAACTGGAACTTCAAGAAACTAGCACAAGCATAAGAGGTAAGGAAGTCTACAGTACTGTTCAAACAGCAAAGGATGCAGTCATGCAGAATGTATGGGGTATGGGGAATCTTAATTTCTCATCTACCCATAGGCTTTTGCTAACAGAAGAGTTGAACCCTGGCTCATTTGTGAGGCAGTTCTCGTAATTGCCAACTTGTTCAGAAAAGATTTTGAAGTAATGAGATTCTATAAGATGTTGCATCCCTCTGACAGGTGCATTGTATATGTGCTCCTTCTAAAGTGAACATTTCTGTGTCTGTGGAGTTTGACAGACAGTAATTTGCTTCGTGTTCTCAAGATTTTCATCGCACATATTAGGACTACACTTAATTTTTCTTGCTTGGCTTCAGAAACAGGGCTGTGGGTGTAGGTGTACAGGGCTTGCTCCTGAAGATATCGACCTGGAGCCATGCAGCAAATGCTTAAGAATAGGATGCAGCGTTCTTCTATCTGCTCTCCATGAGGATGTGTGAAAAGGCTACTCAGTAGCCTGGAACTGAGTATCTTACTTCTAATGCTTAACGTGGACAATTACCACATAAACATGCAATATAGCTGCCATGTATTGTCATTTAGAGATGCATTCCTCCTTACACAAAGACCCTAAGCAGGATCTGGCATTTAATTGCTCACATTTGGTATTGATGGATTTTCCATGTATAATTTTCAGCTATTGAGATTTGAATTTTTATAATTTTATTTTCAACAATTTTATTAACTTTGAAATGTTAGCACTTTCCTCATAGATTTTTTTTTTTGGATGTTTATATGGCTCTAGTTAAGTAATTCTGAGCTTCTTCCAGAATTTTATGTAGTTCTCTGTACAACATCCTGTTGAGATGTAAAAGATGTTTTATCTTCATTTTAAAGACATTGAACCAAGGCATCAAGAATGAAGAGCTGAAATCCATAAACTGACACAAGCTTTCCTAAATGTCAACTACCTTCCCAAGCTCCACTTGTATAACTTTGAAGGTGCCTTTAATGACCATAAACATTTTATTTTTTCATACTAAAGTTTTCCCAGTCTCTAGAGTTGTGTGTCTGCACCTATACAGAGCTATTTTACTCCTAAACAGACTGAGCAGCTTTTATCTCCCTTACTGCCAATTATTGGACTAAATTGTGATTCTGTCTGAGGCTGAAGGTGGTTGATCTGGTAAACATTCACAGAGTGCCTAATCCAGACAAAGAAGAATCCCTGCTAACTGCCCTACCAAAGGTATTTTCTTATCAAATACCAGATGTTGTCCATTTGCTGACTAGTAGTCTGCTGATGAAGCCTCCCAGAAATGGGAGAGCTGAGTTCAATTTTGTTTTCTACTGGGAGGAGCAGGGGTGGAGATTCAAACCTGGGGCAGAAATACAAGTGGTTCATTTGCTGCTTTGAAGAAAACCAGATAGCTAAAATAGGTAGATAACAAAGCTTTTGAGATTTTTTTAGTTGTGGTTATCATTTTACTCCCTTTATAGAGCTTGTTTAAGACCAGGCCAAGATCATCTAGGAAATCTGTGGAAGAAATGTCTCAATAGCTTAACCCTGGGTCAGTTTTAACTAGGAATATATGAGTGGTATAGACTTTTACAGGATTCCATTTGGTATTTCAGGGAGTGGATCATCCCGATATGCACAAATTGACATTGCAGCCACCGAGACAGCCCACAAAGTGGGAACACAGCATGCTCAGTGCCGGGAGGAACGCTTGCAGGAGCTAGAGCAGAAGAAGAAAGGGGCTCAGCAGTGACCTGTCTAGGAAAGAACTTTTTGCTCACCACAAATTGGTACTAATTTATCTTCCAAAAGATTCACATTTATTGTAAAAAATAATCATACAAAATGCTGCCATTGCTTATTGCATTTATACCAGATTCATTCCAATATCTTGATTCCTAATTGGAAAACTGGTAGCATAAGGGGTGTGTGTAGTCTTTCTTTTTATTTTAATTTGGTTGTAAAGTCCAGATTTTTTTTCATATGCAATGACAGATGTGAGTTACCTTTTACTGTAATTCTAAAATCCTGGAGAACCTGGAACCAATTCCAGTGTTTATTAAATGGTGGCATTTTCTTTAAAAACAGAGAACTTGAATGTGTGCAGATAAGGGAATGTGAGTGTGTGCGTGGGAAGTGTACCCAAATGTTTCCATGTGTGCATATGTATGAATGTAAGCACATATTACTGACAAAATATATGTATATATCTGAGAGTATAACATACGTAAAACCTCTATTAATATATTAATGGACTCCTTCAAAAGCAAGAAAATTCAGTGCCTGATTTTTTGCAGGCACAGTTTTGTTCAATTTCTATGCTTATTTATGGACATGCTTAACTTTGCCTATGGGTAATTCAGTTTTATACCTCACCAAGAGTTCTGCAGCTTTGGCTAAAGTTGCTCAAATTTAAAAGCTGCAGTGTCAGGGATGCGTGTGTGTATGCATGCAGACAAGAGCACACACAAACAAGTTAGTTAATTATGTCTATAAACCAAAGTAATGTGAAGGGACATTTTGGGTGCTTCTGTTCTTAAAACCCCCGTGTCAAACCATAGGCTTTGATTTCATAGTTCCTGAGTACCTGTAATTCTTAGCAATTTTCCTGGAGTTGAACATAAGTATCATTTTGAAAATCAGGTCTCAGGTTTCTCATACAGAATATCTTAAAATCAAGGTACTCAAACATTCACTTTTGAAAACTGAGTCCTTTATTTATATTTCCTAAACTATCCCTAATGTAAACCAGTATCAAAAGCAGATTATCCACTTTGAATCTAAAACTTTCATTGAATGATTCTCTGCTGTCCCTAAATGGCATAAAAACAGTTCTATGTCTGTGTAAGAGGATGGTGTCTTCAGAGATGCTACAGAATTGAGGCACAGCAGGATGTTATGTTGTAATATAGATTTATCCATAAGTCTGTGACATCTTGCTTTTGTACAGTGAGATTGTATGATTCAAAACTTAGTTTCTTGTGTTGCATTGTCTATGTAATTCTTGTGTTCTATGTATTTGTCCTGACACAAAATGTTATTTAAATAAAATGGCAGTGACACTAGACTAACAAGGCAGAGTATTTATGAAGAAAACAAAAGTTTGGTCTGTGATAACATATCAGCTTTGGCTTCCAGAAGTTATTGAGAGTGATATCTTGGGTATTATAAATTTTTGACTGTATCCCCTTAAAATACAGTATCACAGCCCAATTCTGATTTTCAGATATGCATTATAATATGTATTCGTGAGTGGAAATTTTGTGCCAGTGAGGGTTTCATTAAGTGACTTAGAATGAGAGGTGAGTGTTTGTTTTTGAGGCAGAATTTAACCTATACATTTATTTGAATGTAGCCTCAATCGTAACGTAAGATATCAGAAATCTCTCAAATTAAAATGTGTTTGAGAGTTGACAATTACCATTGTCATCTGTCCTGTGCTAAGATGTACTTTTCTGTTTATCAACCTAGCGTATTTCTGAATGGAAAAGAAATATTTCTTATGAGATTCCCAGTTTAAAAGATTTTTCTTACTTGACAAATGGAAAGTGGTGATCTGCTTTGTAAACACATATTCAGTACAGCTGGAATGGCCTGGACTTACAGCTCCTTGGGACCAGGTTTATCTAACTGACCTGCTCTTCAATTAAGGATCCTCCGCTGGAGGACTTGCAGGGTTAAATCTCTTGCTCTTTGCCTGTTTATATTTAATATTTAAAATGAGCATAACTTGCCTGATGCACTGAAACGCAGTGTTTTCCATCATGAAATAAAATGAAGCTGCAATATTTCTTCGTAATTTGTTTACCGGGAAAATATATTACCCAGGTTCTCTACAGAGGCTGCCTTTCTGTGTGTTACTCAAAATTGCTTGCATTAAATCCTGGACTTTACTAAAGGTCGTCAGAGTGCTGCTGGCCTTACAGGAGGAATCACAATTAAAAAAAAAAACCACAATGTTTTTCAGGTTGAACAGGGCTGGGAATCTGTGCATGCACATGGTTCTCTGTGCATACGTATTTGTATATGTCATAGTAAATTCAGCTAAGATTAGGGACATGGTTGGATATAAATTTGTACATATAGCCTTTGTTAATATCAACATAATTATCCTATCAGGTTTTCCACAAATGAAGTATTTTATTTTTTAGGCTTCTGTTTCTATTTTTTTACTTCACTTGTATAGAACAAAGAGAACAGATGACTTTCGCTTATTTTTAAAATTAACTCCATATTCTCATGCACTACATTATGTTTAGGAGGCTGAAGCAGGAGGCCAAACCTTACTGTTGCATCTGTTAAAAACTGGTTGGTTGTTGTTTTTGTAGTACCTTGCAGGTCTCCCTGTCAAGTTATAGGCTTGACATTTCTGTTGAAGAAACTAAAATTTTCTCATTTGAACGCAGGAGCTCACAGAAATGGAAATCCTTTTTCCTAAATAAACAAAATAATGCGCTTTCAAAATCCAGTAGTGAGCTGGGGAAAATGGAGGTCAAGCCATAATCCTATGAGCAGGCTTGTGCTCACCATGTAGCTTCCACGGGTTAACTCTAGTACTGTGGTTAATGTACAAATAGTTAGGGGTTTATGCACACACCTTGCATGAAACTTGTGCATAAGTGATCTAAAATACAATTTTGAGTGCTATAGGATGATTCCAGATTCAGAGCTCTCTGCAAAAAACCCGAAAGCTCTCCCACGCTTTTGGAGATAAATATGACTTGTAAGTTCTGCTGGTAAAAATGAAAGCTTTGCTCATTTTTTTAATTTAGCTTTCTACCAGAGTCAGATCTCCTCCTGCCCTTACCAGGAGTATGAGGAATTAATTACTAGAAGAACGAAACAATGTGGTGTGGCTGATACTTCTGTAAGATGTTCTTGAAGTACTTTAACATGGCAGAAGTGCCAGTTTGGGGGCAGTGCCCTATGCTGTCAGCAACTGTGGTGTTTGGGCATAACTCTTAGTGTGTTGTGTACCTACCTCTTTCTTTCTGATAGTCCTACTCAGTAGGTTACTGCTAAATGTAACTACTACTTCAGTGGGGTTTATGGCATTGTTCATAAGCTGTTATGGAACATTTTTATATGCAGATATTTGGGTGATGGAATTTCTCCAAGTTAACATATGCTGCAGGATGGAGGGCTGGAGTTTGGAGACATTTGATTGCCCAACAATGCAAATAGTTGTCTGGGTTTTAATAGCACTCCAGCACCTAATAATGGAAAATGCCAGTAGGTGTCTTTAGGCATCTAAATGTGTGAAAATCTGCCCCAAGAGTTGTTTTTAGAAAATAACTTGGAAAAATTCCTTGTTTTGCTCTCTGCTGTAGAAAAAACAGTTTTAATTAGTGTAGCTTGGAAAACTATACTCAAATTTGAATTAGGAGTGATTCAATTTTTTTATGAGATACTGAAACATGCACCCTTTGGTAAGTACCTTTTCTAGTTTGTCTTGGATAATACACATGCTATTGCTAAAAAGACCACAGGAAGAAGACACAGAATTTTATGAGTTATTAGCTGCTCATTTCTGTTAAAATTATGCATTTTTTTCAGATGACACTGCTGTTATATTTTTATGTCACCTTTTATCTGAGAAGATCCTCAGGTCTCAATTGGCCAGTCACACAAACATTATTTTGCAATCTAGATTGAAAGGAAATGTTAATTTAACATCATAGACCAGTAAGAACAAACATAGCAGAGTAAGGATGGAAGAATTAGAAGTTACTAAAGGGAAATTTGTAAGGAGTAGCCCTGCAAACATGTAGGTGAGTAGGATTAAGGAAAAGTGCTATTTTTTAAGATTTTGATAGAATCTAATGAGCTCAATTTTATGTTTTCCCTGACCAGCTGTATCAGCTGAATATTCACAAGTCCATGAGGCCTGGTGGGATTCATCCCTGAGTATTGAAGGAGCTAGTGGATGTTACAGCAGGACCCCTCTCGATCATCTACCAAAGGTCTTGGAAGTCTGGGGAGGTCCCTGCTGACTGGAAGGTGACCAGTGTTATTCTAGTCTACAAAAGGGAGTGAGGGAAGACCCAGGGAACTACATATCTCTTAGTCTAACCGCAGTTGCTGGAAAAATTGTGGAGAAGATCATGTTGAGTACGATTGAAAGGCATTTAAAGGACAATGCAATCATCAGGCACAGTCAACATGGGTTCACAAAGGGAAAGTCCTATTTAACCCATTTGATATCCTTCTATGCTAAGGTCACCTGCCTCGTGGATGAAAGGAAAGCAGTGGATGTAGTTTTTCTGGATTTTATTAAGGCTTTTGATACTGTGCCTCACAGCATCCCTCTGGACAAGTTGTCCAAGTGTGGGATGAGCAGGTTCATGGTGCGCTGGGTGAACAACTGGCTGAAGGGCAGAGCTCCAAGGGTTGTAGTGAATGGGACTCCATCTGGCTGGTGACCGGTGACCAGTGGTGTTCCTCAGGGCTCAGTCCTAGGGCCCCTTCTGGTCACCATTGTTATCAGTGATCTGGATGCAGGAGCTGAATGCGCCATTACCAAGTTTGCTGACAATACGAAACTGGGAGGTGCTGTTGACTCTCTGGAGGGACAAGAGGCCTCGCAGAGGGATCTGGGGAGATTGGAGCGTTGAGCTGTGATTAATGGAATGAAATTTAACAAGTCC